TATAGCTGGCTGGTAAGCTACCTGCACATTGGCCAGGAGGGGCACAAAAGAGACCCAGGTAATGAAATAAGCTAGCATGGCAAAGGTGAGACCACGGGCACGGTTGTAGCGACCAGGCTGGCTCTGTACTAGGAAAGTGCCCAGGAAGCAGAGGAAGGCCAATATTGCATTGGTGATGTGTACCAAGCCTAGGCTGACCCAGGAATGCATGTGGCAGTGCTCCAGTGCCTCTGTGGGCAGCACTTGCCAGTCTGTCATCACCTTTGGTGGGAAAGCTGTCAAATACCAGGTACACAGTGCTGCTTCCACAAGAATGGCCAGCAGTACCACCACCCAAGCCCAGGGTCCCCGAAGGCAGCTACATAACCAGTTTGCCCAGCTCAGTGGCAGCTCAGACTTCACAAAGATCTCAGCTGCTTGCAGGAAGAGTGTGCTCAGACAGCCTGTGAGAGGAAGGTGAGCCAGTGGCTGTTGAGCAAGGCAGCTGGCAGGGCTTGGCCGTCCTGGGAACAGTAGGACACTGAGGCAGAAAAGGCCTAGGCAGACCAGGCCAAAGCAGAAGAGTGACCCACCTGAGGCCTGAACAAGAGGGCTGTCCCAGTGGTGGACAAAGAGCCCCAGGGAGGCCAGTGCTAGGCCTAGCACCAGGCAAAGCAGCAGGAGTAGTGACAGCACAGTTGGCTCTCCCCAAGCTAGGAACTTAGGCCTTCGAGGTAAGCAGACTGTGCTTTTCTCTGGGGACCACTGATCCTGGTTACACTGAGTACAGGTGAAGTCATCTGGAATAAAAAAGAAAAAGCTAAGTAGGGGCTAGTAATGGGAGACAGAATTTCCTAGCCCAACCCCCCACATGCTCCTCACTGTTAGCCTTGGGGAGGGGTGCACTTGCCAGGCTTGTGTGCTTCTGCCCCCTAGCCCAACTCTGCATATTATCTAGGGAAGGTGGTTCACCTGGATGCTTCCGGTAGCTTCCTGCCTTGCAGTCCACACAGTCATAGCAGCAGGAATGGAAGCCCTTTACTCTGCGCACCTGGCCATCTTTGCACTGCCGGGAACACTGGGACACTGGCACCTGGACATGGAGCCTTGGATTAGGCTTCCCTTGGCTAGCACTGGCCCAAGTCCCACAGACAACCCCAAGCCTGTACCCACCATGGCTTTTGCCTATCTTGTCCTTACTTGGTTCTCTGGCCAGTACATCTTGGAGTGCTGCAGCTGAAGGGTGCCATTGAAAGTGCCTACAGTATGTAATACTGGTGTAGGGCTCTGCCACACCCACATCTTCAGGTCATATTCCATGTCTACATTCCCTTTAGCATCAAACTGCAGAGTCAAGTTTCGAGCATGGAAACTCATGTTGTACATGTTCTCCAGGAGCTGTGGGGTGGAGTGGGGGAAAGGCTGACCCATGAGCCTCTCCAGTCAAGACAGGATTTAGCTCTGCCTGGTGGTTCAGTATTCCTGAATGAGCAGGCATAGACCCAACAAAAACCCTACCCTCACCTGCCAGGGTTGAACAGGCTCTGATGTGAGGCAACTTGAGACATTGCACTGTAGGGTGTTGTGAAGGGCCTGGGCCACACTGTACACAGCTGCATAGGTTGCAAAAATCTGGTGGTGTAACTGACCAGCCGATAGGTTCTGCAGCAGTCCAGATGACAGGTTCTGCAGCATGATGTGGTCACACTGTGGACAGCGTTGCCCCATCACTTGCTCCTCCAGGTCTAGCTCACCATTCAGTGAGGCACAGAATGTTGGGTCAGCAGCCAGGGCAAGGCGGGTCTCCACATAATGGGAGAATTCAGGCAGCGGGGCACCTCGCTGCAGAAACCCAAGCACAGTGCCCACACGGGCAACATTGGGTAGTGTCATGACCAGGTCAGAGGTCAGCCAGGACTCACTAGCCACCCATACCTTGGGTGAGAGGCCATGATGGATGCTGTAGCCAAAAAGGGAGTAGACAGCGCGAGGGGAGGCGAACAGCACCACCACTTGCACTTTGCTTTGGTTCACTTGGTATAGTACATCCAACACCTTGCCAAGCTGTTGGGCACTGGCGCCATGCATTGGCACCAGGCCCTCATGTGCAATGCAAATACCTCGTGTATTGGCCAGGCCAGAAAAGATGCTCAGACCTTCCCGGCCATAGTCATCATCACTACCTAAGGCAGCCACCCAGTTCCAGCTGAAATTCTGCAACAGAGTCACAATAGCTTCCAGCTGCACCCGGTCACTGGGCACCGTGCGGAAAAAGGATGGAAATGTTTCCCGGTCACTTAGCCGATCCATGCTGGCGCTATAGCTGACCTGTGGTGATCAAGAAGCACCTCCTGATGTGAGAGCTCAGTGAGCACGATTGGTTGAGGGAACACAAAGGAGGTGGGCTCACCTGTGGCATGAGGAAGAAGCTGAAGAACTTGCCTGTAATAAGGGCAAGCTCTGATGAGTGGGGCCCAATGACAGCCAGTACACGGGGTTGGTACTGTGTATAGTTGCAGTAGGCAGCAATACTTTGACTGCCCACCTTTGCCAGGAACATGAGACTGGGCTTCATGGTGACCACTGGCTCTGAGCATGTGTCAAATAGGTCATAGCCCAGGCGCAGCCCAGGAAGCAAGGCAGATCCATTGTTGATCTCCTCCACAGCCATTTTCATAGCCATGACCAGGAACAGACCAAGGGGTGAGAACCTGAGGCCACATGGAATTGCAGATGGTCACCACCTTATCCCCCCCAGCTTGGGAGTACCACAGACGCAAGACTGCCAGGCTTCAAGCCCACACCCATCCCAGCTACCAGACTCCATACCTGGTGCACAAGATGCCATTGGGTCGTGTTCTCTGGTAGAGGGTGTCCTCCTCAGTTGAGCCCAGGGGAAATAGCCCACCCAGTATATAGTCCCCTTGTGCCTTGAATTGCTGTGACAGGCACAAGGACTTCCCCATCCCAAGGCCCAGAAGAGCAGCTAGGCTGAGGCCCAGGACAGCTAGGCCTGGCATGGTAGGTAGAAGCTTCCAGCAGAGACAGTAGGTGGCTATGTTGGGCTGGAGCCCCAGATATACTGAGTTCAAAGGGAGGGAGCAGAGAATTTGGTTAGCAAAACTGCTGCTGTGCTTGGCTGCCAAGCCCCAAGGGGCTCCGGTGATATGCTCAATAGCTCAGACCTGATGGTTTGTATATACTGGACTCGTCTTCCTGTCATTAATATGCTGTGTCCAGGAGTGACCCAACAAGTCAACTGTGCCCACTGGCTGTGGCCTTGTCACCTGCCTATGCCCAATCCCCTCAGCCCCCCTCATTCCTAGAGCAGCCTGGCAGTCTAGAAAGAGGAAAGTAAAGCATTCATGGTCTTAGGGTTTCCCTTGACTGTGGAATAAGGGGGCTGGATACCAGAGGTATTCTTGGAGGCACACAGACACCTTTTATCTTCTGGCTTCTGATTTGAGGCAGTACTGTCAATAGGTAAGTGCTGCAGAGGTGGTCTCAACAATGACAGTAGACAGCTGGCTAGCCAGGGTTCTACCCTTCAGATGAGGTAGGGAGAGCTGGGGCTGAGTTTCTTGGGTGTCCCAACCTGCATGGGTCCCAGTTGTTCTGCTGGCATTCTGGAAGCTGTGGAGACCCTTGCCCATTCTGCTGATCCTTGGTGTAAGCCATCCTGCCTTAGCAGTCATGCAGGTACCTCCCTCACCAGAGTGCTCACAGTTGTTCCATGAAAATGAGAAAAAGACCATAAACAAATAGGTTCCTGCAGCTGCTAGGGCCAGGTGTGTGTTTGTATGCAGTCAACAGTTCCTTCTTAGCCTCTTGTTCTGGCTAATTTTATGTCAATTTGACACAAGCTAGAGTTATCTGAAAGGACTGAGCCTCAATTGAGAAAATGCCTCCATATGATTTGGCTGGAGGGCATTTTCTTAGTGATTGATGGAGGAGGGCCATCTCATTGTAGGTGGTACCACCCTTGGGCTGGTGGTCCTGGGTTCTATAAGAAAGCAGGCTGAGCAAGTCAGTAAGCAGCACCCTCCATGGCCTCTGCATCAGCTTCTGCCTCCAGGTCCTTACCCTGTTTGAGTTCCCATCCTGACTTCCTTTGAATAAGAACAGTGCTATGTAAGTATAAGTCAAATAAATCCTTTCCTCCCCAAGTTGCTTTGGTCGTAGTGTTTCATCACAGCAATAGTAAGCCTAGCTAGGACATCCCCCTTTAGTTGGGGTGTGAGGGAGTTATTGCTAACATAGCAGGTTTCTGGCACCCAAACATTGGGGAGGCTGTTGACTCTTGCTGGAATAGGTGCCTGGGTAATCTCAGTGTCATATGGCATCCATCAAATGTTATGGAAATGACCTTTGTATTTCCCTGCTGCCCTGTGAGGATATCCACAAAGCACATGGACATACTCAACACACATGTACACCATGGATCTGTATGTAGCACATGTACCTATTATCATATACTTATTTTTCTGGCCAGTCTCTTGAAGTCATCAGCCTTGGCTAGAACTATGTGGCCTCTGGTTCTTAGCTGGGTCTAGGCATGGCTGGATAGTATACAGCCTAAGCAGATGAGGTGGGTATGGAGTACCAGGAAGACACCACTCATTATGTGCCCTCTATCTATGTAGCTCTAGTTTTCCTCCAGCTTTGTCACACAGTGTCTGGGTATCTTTAGACTTTTTTTTTTTTTTTTTTAACAACCTAGCCCCTCAAGGTGGGTGACCCAGGTGTTTCTTATCTGTAGATAATGCAGATCTCAGTGTATGTGTGTGATAAAGTTAAGACACATCAGGAACAACTGCATGTCAACTCCTTTGATTCTGGACACTGTTTCATGATTTCATGGCTCATAGTGCCCTTTGAGCCCTCAGGATTGGGGACACATGATTCAGTCTTGTCCCGAGGGTTAGCTCCCTCCCCACCCATATGAGTAGGTACTTTTATGTTCTTCCTTCACATAATCAGGCACCTGACACACCTGTGACCCATCCTAGGAACACCATACCCAATCATGTAGGTGTAATTTATTTATGTTGGAATACTACATATATCATAGTTCTTGAAGAAAGAGATATGTCCCCAAATTTGCATTTATACAAGTCACCTACATTGGTTTAACATTAAGACCCAGTTAAGGTCTTATGCACTGGGTGTTACCATGCTGGGTATGGTCATCTGACAGCTATACAAGGGGCCCAGTCCCCTTCCACAAGTCATATCCTAGCTAAGTCACCTGAGTACCATGGTGACAGGAGCAGCAAGGCTGGCTAAGAGAGAGGTATGGTTTGGCCAATTAGTAATGACATCTTGGAATCTAGGGGTGCCTGTGCTGCAAGAGCACCACTGCAGGAGGCCACTTTCTGAAGGGTGATGCTACCATATCGAAGAAGCTGTGAAGCAGGCTGCACTGACCAGAGCAGGCTTTCCTAGGGAGGTCTTAGCTAGCAGTTTCAGACAGTTTCTATTTCCAAGGAGACAAGGGCCTGTTTGATATGCAGAGGCTGACAAGGAAGCAGGGGAAGGGCAAGGAAGTCTTCAGTACTCATGCCACGGCCAAGGAACCTCATCTTACCCAAGGACAGCTTTTGGAATATGAAGGGGCCCCAGGCATGCAGGCCCAGGTCTGTTTGTCTGGCACTGATCCATGCCTCAGGCTCAAGATGGGCACAGGAAGGACTCACATTGGCTGGGCATGTTGACTGTGGGAGAGCCAGAACCTCAGCTCCAGGGTCCTGTGCCCTTATACCATTTCAGATTCCACACATGGGAGGTAGAACATGACCCTCCTTCCCCATCTTCTCCATTTGCCATCTGCATTTCAATAAGGCCCGACGGAACACACACATAACTAAAGTAGAGGGCAAAACTGGAGTTTGGGGGCAGGGGAGGAGGGGAGGGAGAGGGACCTGGGATTGACATGTAAAATAATTTTCTTTCTAATAAAAAAAATAATGTACTATTAAAATAAAAAACAACTGGAGTTCAATTGTCTCATACTGGAAAAAGAGCATGACTGGCATGCACCTCAACTGGGTTCAGCTGTCCACCAGCCTGTGGCTCTCAACAAGCTCAGCTTTCAGGGGTGACAGCATCCAGAAAGCACTGCTGTGGGAGTAGTCCCAGGTTACCCAAGCCCAGGTCTAAGCAGGGGAAGCCCAGACGGTATGGGCACCACCACTAGGGCAGGTCTAGCAGGGAGTGATCAGCGTAGAGTTTCTGGGAGATGTCATACACGTGCTCAATGAAGGGCAGCGCCTCTCCCAGCATCTCCACTGCCTGCTCAGAGGACCCCACATTCATGGCCTCGAGAAAGACCTTGCGTGTGGGCAGGGCACAGAAGGCCACAGTGACCGCTTGACGTACGATCCAGGTGTGATAGGCAGCCAGTGTGGCATTATAGGCATCACTGCAGAGTGTCGAGGTACGAGCATCCTCAGAGCTGGTGCGCAGGCCTTCCAGGAACAGCTGTAGCCAGCGCAGAGCGCGATGCAGGCGCAGCACAGTCCGGCAGCCGGAGTTAGGGTATCGGGAACGGGAGCGGCGGTCTAGGTCCACCAGCTTGTTGCCCACCTCATAGGCCACCATGGACTGCAAGCTAGTGTAGTGTTCATACTGTGGGCTTTTCCTCAGGTGCTCCATTATCTGCAGCTTTGAGACCACATCCTTGGAAATGAATGAGAACACGGCACCCAGGCTGTTCAGAAACCTGTGCAAGGAAGTATACATTTGAGGCCCTACCTAGACTGGCAGTCATGCTGTAGTGGAGGAGATATTACCTCGAATCTGCTAGAGCACTTGTTAGTCTGGAGGCAAGGGCAGGGAGGCTCAAGGAAACTGCCTGCTAGCTGTTCCCATGTTCCTGTGCCATGTGGAATGCTGGTGTCCCATGTGAGCTCTGACTGGCAAAACCACTATCTTCAGCAGCCCCAATAAACGCACCTGACCAGCCCCTTCCAGCTGTTGATATAGTGGTCCAGCAGCACCTCTTCCTCCTCATTGAGACACTGCTTGAAGCTGATCAGGACGACTTTAAGGTTGAAATCTGTCTCTGGGCCATCCATCTTCCACAATGAGCTGAAATAGTTTCACACAGAGCTTGTAGTCATCTCACTCTGGTTTATAGTCTCAAGAAGGTCTGAAAGTGAAAGTGGGATTCTAAAACTCTTTGCTGAGAATCATCCCTTTACCCAAGTGTTTTCCTCAGGAGCTGCAAGCTCTCACACAAGCCAATCTGACCTTGCTATACCCTTGATGAATTCTGTACCCACAGATCGTGACATGGCTGCTCCTGGCCCTTCAGGCTAGTAATTTGGTCAGTTTCTGACCTGAGAACCCATGGCTGCACTGTTTGCATCTGCTACTGCTTCTTGCTTTTCTGCTTCTTCTCTGCCTAGAGCATCTGTTTCACACATTAGGGTAATGTTTCTAAAAGGGAGGCATAGTCCTGGACCCTGGCCATACCTGGAACTCACTGTATCAAGGCAGCATTCGGATGGGAAGCTGTACCAAAACAAAGATCAGGACTCTTAAAAAAACAAGTGATTCTCACACAGGGATGAGTAAAAGGATGGCTAGACAGGCTTTCCCTTCCTTGATCAGGGCTGTATCCCCCAAATTAAATCAGAGGCTGTGGGCTGGCATCTGCTAGACAGACAGATGGACACTCCTATTGTTGAAATGGTATGCATCCCCAAATAACAGGGTAGCTGGGCCAAAGGTCTTACCACACACAAAGGACTGCTATAAATCCTCCCATCAGCTCCATAGAACATTCTGGAAGTGATCTAGGATAGGAAGGGGCCCTAAGGTAAGGTGGGGCTCTGGATACAGTAGGCATTTTTACGTTCATTCCACAAACATGCTAGTTCCCATATTTTTTTTTTTTTTTGAGACAGGGTTTCTCTGTGTAATAGTCCTGGCTGTCCTGGAACTCAGTGTGTAGACCAGGCTGGCCTTGAACTCACAGAGATCTACATGTCTCTGTCTCCCAAGTGCTGGGATTAAAGGCATGCATCTTAAGGCATGCACCACTACTGTCTGGCTAATTTTATTTTATTTTTTGGCTTTTCGAGACAGGGTTTCTTTGTGGCTTTGGAGGCTGTCCTGGAACTAGCTCTTGTAGACCAGGCTGGTCTTGAACTCACAGAGATCCACCTGCCTCTGCCTCCCAAGTGCTGGGATTAAAGGCGTTGGCCACCACCGACCGGCTAAATTAGGCATTTTTTTAATGTGTTGTTTTGAGACAAGGTTTCTCTGTGTAATCCTGGCTGTCCTGGACCTGACTCTGTAGACCAGGCTGGCCTTGAACCCAGATTTGCCTGCCTCTGCCTCCTGATTGCTGGGATTAAAGGCATGTGTTATCACACCTGACTAGGCTTTCACTTTCAATCTTCCTGCTTCCTGAGTAGCTAGAACTACAAGCTTGTGCCCCATGGGTCCTTTTGTGCTCACACCATGAATGAATAACTCCAAGCATCCAGCCCCCACCTTCCCTGGTACCATAGAGCCATGACTTTATGTCCAGGATCAAGCCTGTGGGAGGTGGCTGCATCTCATCCATGTCCAGCATGGACACTCAACACCAGTTCTGCAGGTTCCTGTGTCCCTTAGCGCTGGATCCCTTCCCTAACTGCTGTACCATCAAAGTCCCCCCAAAACCATCCTCATCCAGGGTACATGGATCTGTGTGCAAATTCTTTTTTTTTTTTTTTTTCTTCAGACAGTCCTATGACTCAGTGCTCCAGCTCTGGGAATGTGGTCTGAATGTTTCCCGATCCATAACTGAGGCTGTCAGTTGTGATACGGTCCCATGGGTTGGACTGGACTCCCATCACAAATTCCAGACCCTGACCCTGGAGATGGGCTCACCTTGTGTTCAGGTGTCACGGACAGCCTAAGAAAGATGGCGACGCCCATAGTCTTGCCACACACCCTCTCTTAGGGCCTGTTTGCTGTCCACTGAGCAAATAGTCTCTGAAGCCTCCTACAGTTCTTTCTTTCTTTCTTTCTTTCTTTTTTTTTTTTTTTTTTTTTTGCCACTTAACAATCCTGCAGCTAGGCCTTCCTGCTCAGAGCCTAACCCAGGAGTCAAGTAGCCACTTATTGCTGTCCGTGGTAAACTGGAAAGAAAAGGAAGGGAGGGCGACTCGTCAGCTCCCGGGAGGTGATGCAGGATACGTCTAAGCCTCCTACAGAAGATCAAGCTAGACAGGGTGGACAGCCGGCAGAAAACTCACAAGCTAGCACACAGCATATACACCCAGGCGTAGCAGTGAGCCAAGGCCGTTCAGGGAGGTCCGCAAATCTCACCTGGGACGGATTCCTGTGGCGAAGTGTCAAAGGTGTGGCAGAGGTCAGTGATGGGGAGAGTTGACCAAAGTTACAATAAGGTTGCTGTGGGAGCCGAATCTTTGCCCGTCCGTCCCGGTTGTCTACAGAGGCGCGACTCCGCGGCCTGGATCTCGTCAGGTAGGCGTCCCTATGCTTCTCCCACGCCCGGAGCCTGTTCCGAGACAGCTCGAAGCCTGCGGTTGGGCAGAAGTCTTGAGTTGCAGCCCAAGGGTCAGCCGCTGCCCCGCCCTTCGCTGCTACTTCATCCCAATTGGCTGCTCATCACCCAATTAGAACTCGACTTATCGGCCCGCGTTTCCGGCGCGAGGACAGGAAGCCGGCGTCTTGGCAGTTGCCCCCTCCGTATTGTGTGGGAGTCGCAGTGGCTGGGCGTGGGGGGTAAGCCGCGCGCGCGAGGTGGAGGCCTTCCTGCGGGCGGTGCACGCGGGCTGTGGAAACGCAGTTCGAGACTGCCTCCCGGACGATGCCTGAAATAAGAGTCACTCCCTTGGGTGAGTCCGAGTGTGAAGCGTCTTCTGCGGCGTCCGGCGAGTCGGGCCGGTCCCTTCATAGCAAGCAGTCTAGCAATACAACCAGCGGTCAGCCCCAGCTGTGTGTCCCAAGGAGCGAAAGGTGTGGTGGAACGTTTCCGAGTTGGTGCTTCCTCACCTCTGCCTGGCACCGGGGTCGAAGAGATTGGGGTTGATTCCTGGCCCTGGGGCTCGGTATGAGTTATGGAGGCCCCGCTTCTGTGCCTAGACTGTAGGCTGCCAAACAGCGAGACGAGAATGAGACCCTGAAGCCCAAGGTGTCTGTGAGGCGCAATGAGTTTTGGGCAGGCGTTGCCTCTGTATTTAGCTTGTTAGCGGTGTTAAATTCAGAACCACAGAACTCGTCCTGGCGACTTTCCTGTCCTGCACGTGGATTGCTGCTTCAAGACTCCCTCTGCTTGGGCGTCTTCCTCACTTCTGTTTTTCTTTCCATCTCCCCGACCTGCTTATCGTGCCCAGGTTGCTTGTTGTTACCCCTCAGTTCAGTCTTTGTGTCTGGTCCATCCCGAATTTTAAAAAAAGTATATTTGTTCGTGGTAGAAAATACAAATCTAGCTGGGCGGTGGTGGTGCACGCCTTTAATCGCAGCACTTGGGAGGCAGAGGCACTGTGAGTTTGAGACCAGCCTGGTCTACAAGAGCTAGTTCCAGGACAGCCTCCAAAGCCACAGAGAAACCCTGTCTCGAAAAGCCAAAACAAGAAAAGAAAAGAAAAAAGAAAAGTCTAGACTTCTAAAAGTCCTAACAGCATAGTATGGTGTGTTGGAGGAAACAACCATTTGAGATCTGGGGTTCTAGAACCTTGCTGAATGTTCCTTGGGCTTTTCCTCATGCATGTGTTGTCAGGTGTTGGAGCACCATCTCATTCATATGATCCAGATCCTTAGGCCATTTTGGTTAGAACTTAGTCCCAACTCACTGCATCACAGGACCTTAGCAGGAGCAACCTCTCATACTGGCTACCCCCATCCCATCTAGGTACTAATTAGATTACATGATCAAATAAGAGCAAGCATATTCATAGACCCAGCTCCCTGACTCCTACCCTCCCACTAGGAAAAGTTTGTTTTCTGCCACAGTTCTGAAACTTTTTGGTACAGTTGTTTAATCTCCACCTGATGTACTCAGTGTCTAATCACCTCATTCCCCAAGGATGTAAATCTGTATTGTGCAGAGATGTATTGACAAGGTAGTATCTTCTGCTTTCTTCTCAGTTTTGTCTCCTCCCATGTCTAACGTCTCTGCAGTGTGGGCTTCTGTTCTTTCTTGGAATTGTAAGTCTCTTTGGGGACAACATTTACCAGTTCACAAGAACTGGAACTTTATAATTCCAAAAAGCATACCTTTTCACCATTCTTGGTAGTGTGTGATTATGGATGCCTGTGATGTGAGGTCCTCCCCTGCAAGGGTGTAGCCATTTCCCTTCTATAAATGTTTCAAGGGTCTCAAGGCCTAACACAGCTTTAGGGCTAGAGGTCCTATGGGGAAGGACGCGAAGAACTTTCCCTCAGGGAACACACATCTGGAGGTAGTAGGAACAGGCCTGCGGGAGAACCTGAGGCCAACTCATCCCCAGCCTCATTGTGCCTGACGACAAAAGGAAGGCAGACTGGGCCATGGGTGATGTTTGTGGTACTGATAGTGCTTGGTGCTTGAAGTTGGCAGATGGAGACTATAGGATCCAAGATGGGTACAAGGCTGTTTGTTGTTCTCAGACTCCTGTTGTATCTCTCTTCTTATGAACCCAGATTCCAGGGAGATAACAGCTAAATGGGGAAGATAGGTGTGTCAAGTGTGGTCAGTATCTTGGGCTGAATAGCTAGCAGGGTTTGGTAGTCATCAAGACCATGGGGGGAACTCCTATTGAGGCTGAGCTAGGGGCTCAGTGGTATGGGGCCTGTGCTGCACACTGACTAAAGTGGGCCATGTGTGCTGCAGCTAGTTATTGGTCAGAGTCATGATTCTTTATGGCTGGGCTGAAGCCATGTGGATATGATACCACTCAACACCAAACCTCAGGATCCAGGTCTCAGCTTCTTCAAGCAGAAATCCAAGGGAAGAAGCCTCATTGATTTGCAGCCCCATTGAGGGTCAGGAGTAATTGGACTAAGGTCTGGGGAAACAACAGTGATATTCCACAGAGAGGTAGCTGTGGCTTGCTTCTGTTCAGTGTTGGGGACCACAGCCAGCCAGTGCTTAATGCTCTGCTAGGAGTTTGTTGCAACTTTGAGATTTGAAGTAAAGCATAGAGAAGGGAGGGCATGTGATCCTAGCATAGTGCTTTGTCTCCCCATTGTGCATTCCTCTTATCTGCATGTGAAGGTACCTGTTGCCTAGCCCATGTGTCTGTCTACCCAACAGTCTTAGATCCTGTAGAGCCAACGGTAACAAGTAGTTCAGTGGAGGTCAGCCCTTCCAATAGTGAGGGAAAGAAAGTGGAGAAAAAGTGAGGGAGGAGCCATGGCTTTGTCTCTTACCTACCTTTCTTGAGCAGGGGCTGGCCAGGATGTGGGCCGCAGCTGCATCCTGGTCTCCATTTCGGGCAAGAATGTCATGTTGGACTGTGGGATGCACATGGGCTACAATGATGACGTGAGTACTCTGGGCGGGTGGTCCAGAGGGCAGCAAGGGCCACAATCTACTTTCTAGTCATGCTCTGCCTAGCCATGTGAATCCTGGGACCTCAGAGAGGGGACAGATGGGGCAAGTGGGCAGTGGGGGCATTCCTGGACAGCTATACCCATGCTGGGTGGGGACAGGTGGCCCTGTCACATGGTGTTTGAAAAATAGAGACCAGCTGAGATGAACCTCTTGAGGATCCTTGAGACTGGTCATATGGACCCTTTGGGCTCAGCTATTTGCTGCTTGTTCATGAGGTCAGCTAGTAGCTTGACCTTTCCATGAGGTTTTGAATAGCCAATAGCAAACCCACTGATGTAAGAGTTTGCTGGGGTCATTCCTTGGGGTGCACCACTCTTGCTTCTTGAACCTTGGGTAGCCTGCTGTGTTCCCACTTTTGTCTCATCAGAGGCGCTTTCCAGACTTTTCCTACATCACCCAGAGTGGCCGGCTGACTGACTTTCTGGACTGTGTAATCATCAGGTAGGTTTGTCAGGAATTTGATGTCCTTTTTTATACCCTATTGTAGAGGCTATGTTAACCAAGCTACATTGTGACTCATTCTTTTGAGTGGCCATTATCCCCTCAGAGCCAGGAAGATGATTGTACCTGTTGGCTGTGCCCTTTCGTGTCATGACATAAAGCCTAGCAGGTGCCCCAGGAAGTAAGAGACCTAACTAGGGTAGCCAGTGCCAAGATGTGCCCTTCACCTGCTAAGTATGGGTCTCTCCAGCCTAGATGACCCCATGAGACCTTTTCCCAACAGTACCTGGCAACAGTGATTGTACTCTCTCACCAATTCCTTCCCATTTTACTAGCTAAGTACATCTGGTGTATTTCTGCTTCTACATCCTCTTCCAGCCTCTAACTCTGGTTCCTTAAGCCTCCTTTTCTCTTGTTCCTTTGCTGTCTCAAGAGTGCTAAGCCCTGTTGCTCACTGGCCATTACTGATGTCCTAGTTAATGGTCTAGCTGCCAGTTGCTACCACCTCAGCTCGGTAGAGCTGAGCAAGGGAGACATCTTTCTTCCCACTTTGGCTCCCATTTTCATGTTCTGTCCAGATAGGCTGCCAACTGTTCCCTCTCAACACAAATCCTGCTGTCACCTCCTAGTTGGCCACATTCTGACCGTAGCACTTCCCTCTCAACACCTATCCTGCTGCCATTAGCCAGAGTGGTCCTTTGGGCCTAAAACAGTCCATCTTGGTAAGATGTGTTCTCAGTAACTCAGGCTCTGGTGTTTTGGTCCCTTCTAGACATGGATCACTCACTGCCTGCCTGCTTTGGGTTGACTGGCCCCACTCTTTTTGGGAAGGATATTCCTAGGCCTTGCCCTGAGCAGTCTCAATTCTCTCTTGCCTCCATCAGGAAGACTTTCTGACTACCTGACAGATAGTGGCTCTTTTCCTGCTATTGTATTTGCTGGCCTCACCAACTTGTTTCCGTCTGATTCAGATGTAGTGTGTAGGAGGCCAGAGACAACCTCAGGTGTTACTCTCCCTTGTGTTTTTCCTTTTCCTTTTCCTTTTCTTTTTCTGAAACAGGGTTTCTGTGTGTCAGCCCTAACTGTCCTAGAACTACTTGCAGACCAGGCTGGCTTCAAACTCACAAAGATCTGCCTGCCTCTGCCTCCCTAGTGCTGGGATTAAAGGCATATGCCACCACCACCTGGCCTCTTTTGTTGTTTTAAGGCAGTCTCGTGTAGCACAGGCTGATTTGAACTCCTAATCCTGTCTGCATTTCCCAAGTGCTCACTTTACAAGTATGTGCCACCATGACCTATTCCAATTCAGGTTTAATTACTGATTTTCATATTGTTTTGTTGGGTATCTAGACTGTAGAGTTTGTGTTTTGTTTTGTTTTTGACTTTTTAATACTATGATAGTGATACACATTAGGTCTCAGTAAATGAGTGGATCGTGAGCAGAGGGCTGAGAAGTGGGATGGCTGGGAAAGAGTGGTCCTGGGCTGACTAGTGTCACATTCCACCAGCCATTTCCACCTGGACCACTGTGGGGCACTCCCTTACTTCAGTGAAATGGTGGGCTACGATGGGCCTATCTA